TTCTCACAAACCGTTTATCTGTATTCAAGTTTTCTAACTTTCCCCTTTTCCTTTATACAAAAGCAGTTGTCTTTTGTTTTTTGATTTATTTGTCTCAGGTAATTTTTATTAACGATATATTGTTTTCCTGGCTTTAAGTGGGGGTTTGAAATTATTTCTTTTGAGCGTTTCGTCTGTGACTGCGGTAGCCGCTGGATCTGTGTATCTCTCAGTATAAAATACTAGTCTGAAAGTATAGTCTTTGTTAAATTTAGGATGGCCTTTTGAAGTATATCTATTCATAATATTAGTAAAATTGTTTTATACCATAAAAACTATTAAAATTCTAATATGTAAACACAAAGTTTATAAATAATTATATTATCTTTTAAACCTGTTAATTTGGTTGTTAGCTACACTAGGTGATGTCATTGTTGTAGCCTTGAGTTTTCAAGTTTAAAAAGTTTATTGCACCCAGTTCATTATATATTGCTATTTCCGACTGGGTAAATCTTAGCTGTTATATATTATAAGAAACAAATTAAAAAAATTATACTGACTCATCTAATTTGAAGATTATTGTTGTTGTATACAGGATGTCCCATTTTTTTGAAAAATTAATGTTATATAAGAAGCTCATGGTTTTAAACAATGGTATGTAGTGTCACGGGTTAGGGTTTAAAAAAAGTCCGGGTCAATAGTTCCGAGAGTTAAATCAAAGCTCCGTTGTCATTCATAGACTTTATTAAAATATCTCTTGCTTTTGATGAAAATGAAATATAATAACATCAAGATAGAAAAATTTAAGACAGATCTGGGAATTATAAAAGAAATGCTTTAGCAATAACACACCTATTAGAACATATTATATCCTACTCCTAAACTCACTTCCTTATCTGAACGAAGTTCTCGTTCTAGAAAAAAATTATATGATGTATGTTAGATGTCTCTTATGTATTTAGTAGAGCACCTTTACGTGAAGAGTATCCTCCAGTCTATATACCTACACACACACACACGCGCGCGCGCGCAGTGATCAGCCCTGCCCCTAGGTACATGTGTAAAGTGGGATCCACATGTCTGAAGATCAAACCAGTCACACTTCGCTATTGAAGTGGTACCTATCTGACCCCCAGGCTTTTCCTCACCCCCTCATCGTGTGACTTACGTGAGAAGGCTTATGATCTGAAAGTTACTTAAGGTGCCCTGGGTAATGGGACACCCTCTGTTTTTAATGACTGTGGTTAGGCCACCTAACTGTAGGGTTAGCACACATATCGGCTTTTCTCCCTATTTACTTTACTGACTCTATAGAAGTTACTCTACCATGACTTCGGGACTTGAATCCCTAAAAGAAAAAGAAAAAGCGCGTGTTCCGAACAGAGAGACGCCAGCCTGAGCTAACGACTCTCTGTCCGGAAAAGAGTGTGTGCCCAGCCACTCAGCCGCCGATTTGGCAAAATAAATTTTGTTCTCACCGGCTGAGCATCCGAGTGGGGTCCGGCACCGAGCCCATGTATGCCGCACATGACCTCAGTGCTCGAATTTCGCGAATAGATCTACATTTGATCTGCCTGAGGGGCCTAGTCCGCAGTTGCGGGATATAAAAGGCTTGATGGGCCTTTTATACTTGATAAGTTATGGGTTACATTAAAGTTCATCAATCGTTCTAATGCATATTCAAAATAATTTAGACAGAAAGCAGGATTTTTTTAAACTAAGCTAACCTAAAAGTGTGCGTGAGGTCTGGTGTGCATTCCAAGGTGTACTGTGTACAAAACCCCATGTATATTGTACCTAACCTAGCTAAACCTACAAGCGTACCCTCTCGCCAGCGTTTTTTTTTTGTTTGCTTTCTGTCTGACTTCACATTCGGTTGTAGGATCACTGCGCGACCATCTCACTCTTTATTGTTAATTTTATTTTTCCCTATATCCTGCTATCTGCTGTTTTGGTCTTCTGTGTTACCGTCCTGATGTTTTCGTTGTAGTTAGTCAAGCTCTCTTAACATTCTGCTGGGGTGGTTTCTTAGTCCGTTAAATATTTCGTATGGCCGCTCATCCAACGTGCGTAGGATTCTTTTTTGTCTGGAGTCTCTGTAAACATATATCAATGGAACCTATCTCGGTATATTTAGAGCATCTCTGATTATTTGATTTTGGGCGGTATGCTTTTTCCTGTTTGTTTTACAGGTATGTTATTAGCTTACTTTTTCTGCTTATGGGCGTAGAGAGCTGACTTTTTAAACGCTTTGGCCTTGTACGTCGTTTGGTTGATGTGCTCTGTAAACGTGAGTTTTTTGTCGAGTAACACCCCAGGTATTTTGCTTGGTTTGTCCATTCTACTGGGTGTTTCCAATCGTAGTTTCTCAATTTGGTACACTTCTTCTATGACTAAACATTACAGCTTGTGTTTTGTCGGGATTTAAGACGATATTCCATTTTATGCACCATCTTTGGAATCTATTCAGTGCTCTCTGCAGATGATTAGCTACATGATTCTGGTCTCTCCAGCTTACAGCTATACTCCAGTTACTGAGGCTTAAAATATGGTAATACCTCCGAATTTATTAACTGCATCGATTCTTTGAAAATTTCAATTAAGCTTATCTTACCCTCCACTTCAAAAGTTATATACGCTCTAGGTGCGCTTTTTGTTTTCAAGTCTGAAAACTACCCCTTATTGAAGAAACTGGGAAAAAACACGGATTTATTTATTTTATGCACTTAAATCTTGTTTATTCGCATAAGGTAAATATTGTAATGTGTTCTCTAATATGAAAATTAATTATTCACAATTTTCAACCCTTAAAACCCTTTTAAAACCCTTAAAAGCTAATATTTTTTATAAAAATAATATGAAAAAAAAATTCGTAGCAGCTTGAGACATTTCAATTATGTATTTAAATACAAGTAAAATAATACCCTAGCTATACAATAATATTTTATTTATGGAAATTTCAACCCTTACAACCACTCTTATGACAAAAATGAATTAAAAAATATTTTTATCGGTTTGAAACATTTCTTGAGTGCATTTTATTTAACGAAAATTATTTTTTTGCATATAAAATAACTTTTTATTATAATTTCAACCCTCACAACCAACCAATTTTTAAAAAATTAATTTATTATATTTTTATTGGTCTGAAACATTTCTTGAGTGCATTTTATTAAACAAAAATTAATTTCTTGCTTATAAAATAACATTTTATTATAATTTCAACATTTCAACCCTCACAACCCCCGTTTGTCAAAAATGAATTAAAAAATATTGTTTAACGATTTGAAACATTTTTAGAGTGCATTGTTTGTAGACAAAAATTAATTTTTTACTTATAAAATGAGCCTACTTTCTTCAACCCTTTACAAGCACCCCTTTTGATGAAAATAAAATCCTTAAATCCTTAACTTAAACATGGACATAAATAGAAAAAATTTAGTTTATAATATATTACAATTTTTTATTTTCCAAAAAACAAAAATAAATATTTATATAAAACTTGTTATTATATGAGTTTTTGTCGAAAAATGTACCCGTTTTTTGCCGAATGTGTCGAAAAACAAAAACAAACCTTCTTTGAACAGCCATAACTCAGTTAATATTGAACTGAAAATATTCATTAAAAAGCCAATCTTTTTGTTTTTTATGAGCTTTAATTTTAGTTGTTACACTTTTTTTGATAAAACTCATTCAGAGCTATTCTTAAAAAACCTTTGAAAAACATGTTTTTTCTTTAACGAAAAAAACACTTTTCACATCGAATAATTCAAAAGTATTGATCTAGCGAAAAAAATGTTTACTACATTTTTTGTTTGAAATTTGTCCTTCTATCGAATAGCTTGGTTATTTTGAGTGAAAAAATTTTCACCCTCGAAAAGGGGTGGCAATCACCCCAGTGTGGAAGCGCACATCGGCACTACATAACTTTTGTTCCTTGAGTAATTATTTATAGCACACAAAATTTCGAATGAATCGATTCAGTTATAAAGAATTCGGAGGTAAAAACCTCAGTAACTAGACTACTATTGCTGTGTCGTCAGCGTAAAGACTTAAGAGAGATCCTGGTTCTGTTGGCATGGCGGTCATGTAGATGGTGTACAGGTAAGGCGACAGCACCGCTCCCTGAGGCACACCTGCTTCCAGGGTCCTGATCTCGCACAGGGTTGCCCCTATCCGAAATTTGAACCTTCTGTTGGCTAGGTATGACTCAAGAGGCATGGCACCACCTCGTTGTACCCCAAATCGCTCATTTTGTATAGGAGTCCTTGATGCCAGTCTATATACCTATTTAAACTTTGATCAAATAAAAGGCAAATATCGAGCATAGCTTAATTAATTTAATCTTGCCAAGTACTTTCGCTCCCTAGAGCATCTTCAGGGGCATATCGTCAATTGTGGCGTATCCGACAAGAATAAAATGTTATAAACATAAAATGGTACATCACACTACACTACACAAGGACAAACATTAACGTTTTTAAAGTAGGTGAAACTACATTGTGTACGGAAGCCGGAGACAGAATGACATGAATGAATGAAAGCCTATTTTAAAAATTTTAATGTGTACTGTAATGTGATGTACCATTTTATGTTTATAACATTTTATTCTTGTAGGATAGGCCACGATTGATGAAATGCCCCTAAAGACGCTCTAGGGAGCGAAAGTACTTGGGCAAGATTAAATTAATACTGTACTAGATATTTGCCTTTTATTTGATCAAAGTTCATTTATTCGAGCTTTCAATCTTATATCACTATATACCTATTTGTTGTAACAATTTCTTTCATACGGTGCGGATACTGATACAGACATAGGAAATCGATGCAACAGAGAAGATTGAGAGAGTATTAACTTTTACCTTATGTTATTAATTAGTATTAGTATTAACTTTTACCTTAATTAATATATATCCTATATTAATTTGCATGTGAAATGTAAATTAAGGCCAAAAGACCTGTACTGTTATATTTGTAATTTTTTTGTTTATTTCGACTAATATATTTACTTTTGCTTTCAGCCCAAAACTGACAGGAAGAGGAATCTCGTAGACCCACAAACAGCCATACTAATCGATTTCTGGGATGGATTCGACCCAGAAGTAGTATCTCAATATGGATTTTGCATTATCGGATCTGAGCGATTTACCATGCCATCGATATGCTTTCTTTGTGGAAGCGCCGGAAAAGAATCCATGTTATACTGCTCCATTTGTTGCGAACCTTATCATAGTTTTTGCTTGGAGCAATTTCAAACTGTACCTATCGATAAAGGCTTGAAGTATTATACATGGATATGTCCTAAATGTACGACATGCAACGAATGTAATAAAGTTGACAGGCTAAAAGTTAACTGCCAGAAATGTTTAAAATCATATCACCCGGAATGTTTTAATTCTAAATGGAATAGCGAGGATAAACCATCGGTAAGTCGATTATTTTTATACATAGTTTGTAAATTTTCTCCCTTATTTTCGGTTTCGCCTTTCTATCATCATCATCTTTGGCTGTACAACCCTGGATGGCTATACATTCCCCTGGCTTTCCAATTTCTGATCCCTAGATTCCTCAAGTCATCTTCGACTTGAGTTTTGAATCTAGATCTAGGCCTGCCTCTCTTCTTGGTTCCTACTGGATACAATATCGAAAAACGGACGAGACAAAAAAACTCGTTTTATTTGAGCTAAGATATATCGAAAATAAGTATAATATATGTTCGTGTTTTATTAATAATTGTAACAAAAATAATGAGGGATTATTTGTGATATGTTAACACTTTCCACATTCTTATTTTCCTCTGTTTGTCCAAGATAATATTTCCGTGAGAATCAGTTAGATTTCCTTTCTGTCTCCGTCTTAGTCAAACTGTAAGTTCTTTAACTTTCCTCTGTACATTGTAACTATCGTACTTTAACTGTAGATTCTTATTTTTTCGTATCTTTCCATTGCCTTTTTTCTTTAAGAGTTATGCAATCAAAATGATCCATGCGCCTCTAGTATTATTTACTATTTAGTGATACACATCAGCGACATAAAATAATTATTGAAGTATTAGCTTTAATAATATTAATATCCTACCAAATAATTTGTACTTCTTTTTAGGTTTGTTCAAAATGTGTGAAATGCAAAAGTTGTGGAACACCAAACATAACAAAATTTGTTGGTAATTTACCTTTATGCATGAGCTGTTTTAAATCACGAAAAATGGGAAGTTTTGCCCTATTTGTCAACATTGCTATGACGAAAATGAGTGTTGTTCAAAGGTAAGCATTATCGACTAATTTTGAACCTATTTTTATTTGAAAATGCTTTATTGTCACTGATTAATCCATTCAGGACACCTTTTGCAATATTGATAAAATAGTAATTTATGAGTTGAAGTTATTTTGGTTTTATGATTTAAGATTTAATCTAAACTTTTACATCCCGAGTTGCGCCAAATGTAGGCAACTTACACGTACTACTTGCAGTGTTGCCTGAGTTTCAGTATAATCATATAATTGTAGATGATGTGTCTATGACTTTCTATTAATCTGCTAATGTTGGTATATTCTTATTGCTGATTTCTTCTTTTAGTGTTGGCAACCACTGCTACATTCGGTTGACGAGTTTGGTACACATCTATTTTCATTAACATGAGAGCTGCTCGTTGATTTTTTTCTTTTTGTTGTCTGTTTCTTTCGTGACTCTTGATGCATCTTGATGAATGTGTGATTTGTCAAAGCCTCTGTTTTTAATGTAAGCTTCATGCTCGTTTTTCCTGACAGTAGTCTTGTAGTTTCTCCCATGTAAAAATTATTACATTCACAGGGTCTTTTATAGAGGTATTTTTTTTTATCTCTCTTGTGTATTGTTAAGTTTGGTTTTTTAAAGAATAGATCTCAGTGTATTGGTTGTTTTGAATCTGGTTGTGATATTGTACTTATTTCCTATCCTTCATAATTTTTGTGATAAGCCCTTTACATATGGTATTGTTGTCATCTTTAATTAACTTGTTGTGAGCATTTTCGAATCGTTTTTGGTGTTTTATTGGTTCTTTTTCTTCAATCTTGTGAAATTCCTTGTTTATAAACGACATGGGTAATGATTTTTTGTTAAAACCTTTGTTAGTATGTTTTTTTCTCTCGGAAATGCATTTTCATTGGAGCAGGTGTTTGGGCTCTATCATATAATGATTTGATAATTCCCTTTTGATGTTTAAGTTGGGGTTTGAGTGGTAATTTTAATATCTGTTGGTGTGGGTTGCTTTTCTGTAAACTGTTGTTGCATATCCTGTATCCTCTTTTGTGATTCAACATATCCAGAATAGGAAGAGAGTTGTCGTTTTCTCTCTCCATGGTGAATATGATTGATTTTCGTTTACTGTTGACGTCTATCAGAAATTTATTCAATGATTTTGGTTCGTTAGATGAAATAGAGAACAAGTATCTACATATATCTACCATACTGTAGGTTGTTTGTCTTGTTGCACAATGTTTTTTTCGAAATTCTCCTAAATATATCTGCTAATAATGAAGATAAGGATAAGCCCATGGCTAATCCGAAATTTTGTTTGTAAAAAATCATTATCTATTTGAATAATTGATGGATTCGACCGTTACTTGATGGAAATTCATTTTATGTAACAATAAAACACTGAAAACTTTGTTTTCAAACTTCCACAAAATTTATTTTAAATATTATCACTACAGCTGTTTCGGCTGATTGCCTTTCTCAAGTGATCTATTTTGGCTTGGGTTTACAAATTTATAGTCTCTAATGAAATAGGTTGAGGAGGGGAGAACTGTTTGTCTCAAGTTGGTCATTCAGAATTATATCTGTGTTTTTTAATTTGTTGATTTCCATAGATTCTAACAAAGATAGCTTAAGGCCTTTATTTTGAATGTGAAGAATTTTAAATTTCTCATTAAAAGAATGATTATGATCTAGAAGGTGAAGTGCGTATGTCGAATCTGTTTTTCTATTCTTGAAAGCCCTTTTATGTTCTGCTATTCGTTTATCAAAGTTTCTACCAGTTTGACCGATGTAAGTTTTTGGGCAGTCGCCACATTCAAGTTTGTACACACCACTATTTAAGTGTTTTTTATTTTGGCTCTTGTTATTTTTAATATATTTGCCTAGGTTGTTATTTGTTCGGAAAGCTGGTGTTATTCCTTTCTTTTTTATGTGTTTGGCAATTTTTGTTGTTATTTTGCCTGTATATGTAATCGAGCAGAAGGTACTGAGTTTTTTCTCTGGTGGTGGAAATACTAATTTCAGGGCTTTCTTGTGTAGTTTTTGGTTTAACATTTTATTAATTGTTTGTTCGTTGTATCCGTTGTTTACTGCTATCTGCTTAATTATATTTAATTCTGTCTCAAAGTTGTATTTTGACATCGGAATTTCTGTTAATCTATGTAACATACTATGATAAGCTGCCAGTTTATGTTGTGTTGGATGGGATGACGAATTGTGTATAGTCGTGTCAGTATGGGTAGGTTTATGAAATATGGAGAAGTCATGTTTGTTTTGAAGTCTGCTAATTTTTAAATCTAAAAAATTTATGGATTGATTTTGTTCTGTTTCTATTGTAAATTCAATATGACTATGAAGTGAATTAATATATGATAAAAATTGGTCCAGTTGCCTGTTAGTTCCTGTGAAACATACCAGTACGTCGTCTACGTATCTCCACCAATATAAAAACTGTTTGAATACGGGATGTTTTGAAATCTTTGTCTCTAGATGATTATTTTCGTCTTAAATGTTATTTCAAAACCACCATCATCTTTTGAATGGTTCAGGTCCAAAAGTCCAAAGGTTTTTCTAGTCCAAAAAATTAAGTTCAAGAAATTATTACTTCTGGGTGTAACACTTTTAATGTCACTGAGTATATTTAAATGATAGGAATTATTGAAGTATAATTTATTTTTAGATGATGGAATGTGCAAAATGCTGTAAGTGGGTCCATGCGAATTGTGAACATTTGACTGAAGACCAGTATCAAATGTTGAGTGTTCTACCTAAATCGGCAGAGTATTTGTGTCCTTCATGCTGTAATTCGTCGGGATCGATTCCAAACTGGAAAAAAGCAATAATTCATGAAATGAAAGCCAGCTTTATCCACATTCTACGCCAGCTTAGTAAAAACAAAACTGCTAGAACTTTATTAAAATGGAGTCCGGTGCACGATACAACTTCTTCGAATAAAACCGTAACGAACGCTAGGAAACTTCAATTTTTGGATGGCAGTCTAGACGTCGATAATAATAATAGTAGCAAGGAACCGTTAGATATCAACAAAATTTATTCATTTGAAGAAAATGAAAGATACGAAGCTAGTCTTAACAAAGTTACAAATACTCTCTCTGTAGTGGATATTAAGAACAAATTATTGTCAAATGAGTACTCTTCAATAAGAGAATTTAATAAAGAAATTGAAGAGTCGTTAAAATCAACAAATTCAGAAGAATTACTAAAAATTTATCAATCGATATTCCACGATGTATTTCCGTGGTACCAAAAGTCTTCAAATGAGGACTTATCTGATGTTTTAAAAAAAGATCATGTCGGTGAATCTCAAGACACATCAGATGACACAATTCCCAGTTTGTTTATAGATCTGGCTCTACCCGTAATTGATACTCGATTATGTGTGTTTTGTAAAGGAATAGGAGATGGTTCCAGTTCGAACGAATCAAGACTTATATATTGCGGGCAAAATGAGTGGGTCCATGCTAATTGTGCTTTATGGTCGTCTGAGGTCTACGAGGAAATCGACGGATCGTTACAGAACGTTCAAAACGCGCTAAATAGGGGCAGGATGATTAGATGCGCTCATTGTAAACAAAAAGGAGCAAGTGTGGGTTGTTGTTTTAAAGGTTGCCATGAAACTTACCATTTTCCATGTGCCAGGTCTTGTAAATTAAAATTTATGTATGATAAAACGGTTTATTGTTCAAGCCATGATTTGCCCAAAAATAGTCATATTATCTCTCTAGAAAAAGAATTTGATATTGATAGATCTGTGTTTGTTGAAGTTGACCAGAAGAAAAGAAAATACTCGGCTGAAATAGATAAAACAACTTTTATGATCGGATCTTTATGCATCACAAATCTCGGTAAAATTGATCCGATCATTTCTGACACAACTGAGTGTATCATACCTATCGGCTTTGCTTGCACAAAAATGTTTTGGTCTACTACCGAGCCTTGGAAATTGGTACCTTATACAGTTACGGTATCAGTCAAGAACTACAACAGTAATACTCTAATTATAGATAGGAATTTCACGATAGATCACTCACGGGATAAATTAGTGGTGGAAAAAATGCTGAGGGAAATAAATATTTGGCAAAGGGATTTAGACAGAAAGGTTTCCGATATTGATTCTGAAGATGACGAAGAGCAACGTACAGTACTCCTGTCGCCTGAGCTTACTGATGCTATTTTAGAAGAGTTGCCTCATGATCTTTTAGATGGAATTTCGGTTCAAGACATTTTCCCTAAATTTTCGTACGATGAACTAATGGACTACAAACACGATTTAAACCTCAGTGAATCATACAAGAGATCAGACGTCGATGAAGACTTAGATGTAGAAATGAAAAATAAGGAATACAAAAAGAATAAAATTGATGCCTTATCCAAGACACGTGCGAATTCGAAGTCTTGCAGCCTAACTTTAAGTTGCAAGTTGGATAGTTCGCTGCCCCCCTCTGTAAAGAAAAGAAAAATTGCCACCACTAGGGAGACTAATGTCATGTACCAATTATTGCAAGTTGATGGTAACCTTGATGATTGTAGTTCCAGTGAGTGTGGATCTCCTTCGGAAGTAACTGGTACGAATGGCTGGGGGAGTTATATATCAGAAGAACCAGTGACTTGTGATAAGTGTCAATCTACTTATAGGACACAAGCTAGTTATGCGAGACATTTAGAGTCGTGTGAGAGTTTTTCTGCCAGTGATAGCGATTCAGAATTAAATGTAGAACAGGAGATAGTGTCTACGTATACTAATTCGAACGCAAATTTTATCGATAATCAAGTGGTGGTAGATGTCAATGAACCAGTACTTATTTCTTCTTTTGAATCATTTCAAAGCGAAATCCACACATCAGTTCTTAATACTCAAAGCTTTGTTACATCCAAGTCTTCTTCCGAAGTAGTACCTTCTGAAATCATTATTCCAAGTATCTCTCAAACAACGAGCACAAACCTCTACTTCACTCTCTATCAGTTAATGCAGTGACACCAATTACCTTAGAAACATCACAACCGGAGCAAACTTTTTCAATCAATCAACCGACTATTATAAACGATCCTGGCATGTCAGTGCATACGAACCAAGCCCAATTTTGTGTAAATCAAACTGTGCCTTTATGTGTAAATCAACCCATTACTTTACAACAAAACAACATTCAAGTGAACCCTTCTGCGGCGTACTCCGGAAATCAAGTCTCATTCATAAACCCCAATGCCTCTATCTCTATAAACTCGGTTCAGCCTACAAATTCGGCCCAATTAAACCAGCAACAATTAGATTTTCAAACTCCCTCAGTCACAATTCAACCAGTTCCTTATAATAATATTATTAACGTAGGATCTCAAAATCAATTTACGCTAAATGGTAAATTGATCCAAAACCCAGTATTACAGGCTGTCAACGTCCAAGGTGCTCAATGGGTTCGACAAGTTGCGAAACCGACGATAGTTACACAGAAAACTGTGAAGCCTAGAAGTCGGAGTCGTGCATTAGCAGCTAGACGTAACCAGTGTGAACAAGGAGCGATTATTCTTCCACAAAACTCTAGCCAAGTAATAGTTCAACAACTACCGTCCACGAGTTATGTTCCATTTGTCGATGCCTTTCAGCAACCTGGACAAAACATACAATATGTTGCAACCCTCACCCCTCAAGTTAACACTGTGCCTGCTCAGTCTATAGTACAAATACAACCGGATACGAATATAATAAGCATAGTTCCTGGTTTGCAACAAGCCATGTATATACAACAACCCAGAGTGGAGAATCAGTTGGTCGTAGACAGCAATGGTACACTTGGTTGGTCTCAGCAGCAAACAGTCCAACCAGTTTACTACGGATTCGAAACTATTGTACAAAATACTGTGATGCAATCACAACAGTTCCTGCCAACAACGATGCCTGGTGTATTAACAGCGAACAGTAGTTACTCGACAACTACACAAGTATTCCAGACTAGTAAGTTAGAGCCCGTGTTGGATGTGACGTCTAATAGTTTTGTGCTGGTTAATCCAGGACAACTGGTGAATTCGCAGCCCATAGTTAACACCCAACCCATTGTTAATTCGCAACAAATAGTTAATACTCAACCCCAGTCAATTATCAACTCACAGACCATCGTCCCACAGCAGGTCGTTAATCAACAACCTGTTATAAACCCACAAATAGTTAGCCAGCAACCTATAGTCAGTACTCAGCCAGTAATGAATACCCAACCAGTAGTAAATAGTCAACCTGTAGTCAATACACAACCTGTAGTTAATTCTCAGCCCTTTATCAACACACAACCGATAGTTAGCTCACAAGCCATCGTCAATCCCCACCAGATGATTAACTCACAACCGGTAATAACATCACAGCAACTAGGAAACACTCAAATCACCAATCACATGACTGAATCACACGAAGCAGATCCCTTCATAAACAATCCTACCGTCACATCTCAACCTACCCAATCTCAGCCTAGTATTGTTACCCCTAGACCTGTAGATCTCCAGCAAGTTCAAAATATTAAAATAAATACTGTAAACAACGTATTACCACAAAGGAAAGAAGTAATTATGCAAGATACTAAAAAAGAATCAATCAATCTCCCAACAGAAATCCAAAACATAAGCATACTACCTCAGAAACAAGAACCGAAAATATCACACTCTCAAATTCCAATAAAAACATCACCAAATACTATGCAACCTGTGAAATATAATCAGGCACCAAATAAACCAGCAACCCCTGCATCAAGTCAGATATCACTTCCAACTGCCCCTTTCGTGTCCGAGCAACGTATTCCTACTAACATTGTCACGCCGATTCCTAAACCACCGTCAGTTTCTAGTCGTCCCATGAATAGGGTTTTACCTATGCTTACGAATAATACAAAAGGGCATAAAAAGAGTTTTGATGACAAATTGTTTTTTCCCGACGAAAAAAAGAAACCTATACAAATCCAAAAAGTTCACGAGATTAAAGCCAATAAAGCAAAATTGGAGCCCATTAAAAATGTTGAAACAGATTCCAAACTGGTTACACCCACTTTTGATACTCTCTCAATTCCTAAGCTAACGGTATTAAAAGACGAAAAGAAAGATAAACGCTTAAAACAGGAACTGCCTAAAACCTGCAAAAGTATTGAAAGCGAAAGCGAGTTGAAATTGGAACCTCCTAAAGTAGAACCAATTAAAATAGATCCTCCTGAAGTAAAAGAACCCGTTGAAGAAATTAAACCAGTTCAGACATCTATATCTACGGATACGAAACTGGACACTTCTCTAAAATTAATATTTCAAAAACAAGGACAAGATGGAACATACAAAATCAGTTCTAATTTTAGTACAAAACAACCCGTACAAGTGGTCCCTTTAAAGCCAATAAAATCAAATTATACACCTCCCCCTTTAGAAAAACCAAAGAAAAAGGAAATTAAGCCGCTGGAACCGGAAAAATTCGAGGAAAGTCCAAAATCTCAACTGGCGAAAAAAGAGAGTGAAACTACTTCAATAATGTATACAATTGAAACCAGAGAGGGGTTCAAATATACTTCATCTTCAGTGGGCGATCTTTGGTCCAAAGTTTTAGAAACTGTACAATCAGCTAGAGTAGCTCATAATATGCCGCCTTTGCCTACGAATAACGGTAACCTACTGAATTCACTGCAAATCTTAGGATTTAAGTCAAATGGTTCAAAGTTTCTTTTAGAACAGTTACCAGGAGCTTCGAAATGTACGAAATATCAATCGGTTTTTAACTTCCCTCCGCATGCTAGTGAAATGGACAGTGAATTAACACAAGATCACATTCATGGTGCAATACGTTGCGCACCATACGAGAACAACAATAAAGAACCTTACGACATGTTTGGATGGCTGTCATCACAACATCGACAACCAGCGAAGATATCTTTAGAGAGTCAGGAACAAACATCTAGGTATGTACTATTTGCTTTACATTTTAAATATATTCAAATTTAGAGAGGATTGGGCATAACATTGTTTGGAAATCAATCTATTTCTAAGCCCGCTCATTCGCTTCCAGTTAAATCAACCAGCCTATATCCTGTGGGTAATTTCTCGATCTAGTGTCTCATTTTCCGGTATGTAGGAGCCAAGATTTTTAAATTCTACTCGTCCTAGTTTTTTCTTAAGTGATTCGATGTCCCCAACCATTCCTGCTCCTCCCAACCACATATACTCTGTTTTCGACTTGATAACTTTAAGTCCTTTTCCAAACCTCAAACTTCTCCAACATTTCTCTGCTCTCCTTTACCAACACGATATCATCCGCAAAGAGCAGGAGCAGCGCATTTGTGAAAGAACTAATAGTTACAATTTGTGAAATAACTTTCAAGTTTCTGGGTTAACCGCTAGGGGGCATAACCTATGAAGAAAACTTTGAAAACCAGTTTTTTGTGAAATATCCCCAATTATATATATATATATATATATATATATATATATATATATATATATTATATATATATATTATATTCGGTTTTATAACGTCTTACGACGTTGTCCGACTCCCAAACGCCACTGTATTCTGTCTTGAGTTAGGTCTTCGTCCAGATTTCGAGCGCTAATCGCTTTCCTAACTCCCAGGTTCCAGCTCTGTGGTGGTCTTCCTCGTTTCATCTTCTCTGGAGGTTGCCACATCATCGTTCTTTTTAGGGAACCTTTCGTCCCCATTCGGCTCACATGCCTATACCATATGAGCTGTTTTCTCTCAATATCCTCAACTATAGTGCCCTCTATACCCATTTGTTGTTTTATCACTTCATTCCGTATTCTGTAGGCTCTTGATATTCTCATCGATCTTCTTATGGCATCCATTTCCGTGGCTTCGACCTTTTTCTTATATTACTCGGTTATTCTCCATGTCTCAGCTCCATAAAGTAGGCTAGTTTTAACCATTGTCTCATAGATGTTCCATTTTCTTTTCTTTGATATTTCTTTACTCCATAGAACTCCGTTCAAACATGCGATAGCTCTTCGTGCTTGTACAATTCGATGTTCTATTTCTCGTTCGTCTTTTCCACTACGGTCGAAGATGACGCCCAGGTATTTATATTCGTCACATGGATTTATTTTTTGATTGTCATCGATATCGAGTTGTTCTGCTTCAGCTCCAATTGAGAGGTATTTTGTCTTTTTTAAATTGATATTTAATCCCCATTTCTGGTATTCTTCAATTTTCTTTTCTATAATTTGTTTAAGACAGAAGATGTTATCTGTACATGAACGACCTGCTCTAAATCCTCCTTGTTTTTCGTCTTCAGACGATTGATAATCTTCCTCTATCAGGTCCCGTAGTATTCGACCGTATAGTCGACTCATTGAACTTGTGACCGATATCCCTCTATAGTTTTTACAATTTCTCCTGTCACCTTTTTTATATATTGGGGTCATATATACTGTTTTCCATTCATCTGGTGTTGGATGGCCATTAATATATTCGTTAAATATCACCGTGATCATTCTGTGTAATTTCTCTGAGACATTCTTTATTAATTCCGTAGTTACTCCCTCTGGTCCACTTGCTTTCCCATTCTTCATCCCTGCTATAGCTTTTTGAACTATGTTGATATCTATGGTAATATGCTCTCCCAGAATGTCGATTCTTGATGAATTCATATCTTCTTTAAATTCGTCTCTGTTCTCATTTAATAGATGTTTGTAATAATGTGTCCAATCCTCGGGATTTATGGGATTTAGAATCACTTTCTCGTTAGTCGGCTTCTTAACAGAGTTTATAAACTTCCACGCCTCAGTACATTGTCGTCCTCCAATATAAGATTCTATCTCTCTGCACCTTCTGTCCCATGTCTAATTTTTGGAGGTCATAATTATCTTTTTAGTTTTCTTCTTCATTTCATTGTATCGGTCTTTGTCTGCGTCATCTTTTGTATTCAACCACTTATATGCCTAATTATACCAAGTGTTAAATAAGTAAACGAGAAAGAGGCCTAAATTCCGCACAAAGTTGTTCCAGTACTTTCTTTTAATTTATTCAAATAAGGGGTGGGGGAGAGTGGGAAAGTATTTGTGGATAAAAACCTATAACTTTGGTTTGGATCAACCGATTTTAACCAAATTAGTGTCATTTGTATAATTGGGCATATTTCCCAAAAAACTGGTTTTCAAAGTTTTCTTCACAGGTTACGCCCCCTAGCGGTTTACCCAGAAACTTGAAAGTATTCCAGTAATTTCTCTTGGCCACTTTTACTAAGGAATTTTTTTGTCCTAAAGTTATAACATGAATAGTTTCTGATATATAGCCGATAGATCGGCTTATTGGGCCACCTGGTACATGTCTCAATGTTTGAAGGTACCACAAAAGATTAATTGTTTTAGGTCGTGGAAGGAATGCATAGTATGGCATGGAATTATTTTTCTCTTACCCATTAACTAAAATTAGTTCCTTGTATAGAATGTTTTTACTTAGATCTTGAGACAACTGTTAAATGTCTTATGACATGTCATGACGACTTAGAAATGCCTGTTATTACTAATTTTAGGAGGGTGGTGAATCTCCCAATGGCCATGAAATTCCGGCAATTAAAACTAACCTCGAAATACTCAGTGGGCGTTTATAGATCCCCTATTCACGGAAGGGGTCTGTTTTGCCTTCGTGATATCGAATCTGGAGAAATGGTCATCGAGTATGCAGGGGAGGTAATTATGTCTTTGTCTTTCATGTATATTATTTTTTAGTTTTGCGTTTCTAATACTTTTTTAGTAGTTAACCAATTTTTCAATGTGGATAAAATAATACCAATATATTATTACCATACTGGGTACGGCATTAGTGCGAGGAAGTTCAATTAGTCATTTGTAGTAAGAGATACGAAAAAAAAAATATTTATGTTAAAGTTGTAGCACAGATAGTATCATACTCTAAAATATTTTCAAATTTTCACTTTTTTTATTTTAATACCCTGTATATTTTTACATTTTTGGACTCTTCTCCTTCTCGTTTTTCCATTATCAGGTTTGGCAGAGTTATAAGAGGTAATTTAAAAAATAATTACGTTGTTTTTATTAATTTCGTAACAAAATTAACACTGTAGAATTTGTTAAGATTTGATATCAAAAAATATATTTATTTTCAAAAGATTTTTAAGATAGTCTACTATTGTCGAAAATTAATAATATAGCGAAATATTGAATTTTAATATACAGGGTGAGTCGAAAGTTGGAATGAGTATTTTCTGAGTTTTATGTAGATACATTGTTCCGTTTGCATGATCCTCGAAAAAGAAGGGCCCTATGACATAATTTCCAGGAATTCCAGCCCAAATATTTAATGATCATTTTGTTTGACTGTGGGTGAAAATTTTCTGGTAAATTAAAAAAGTTGAGTATCTAATGGTGGAAATTATGTCTGTTTACAATACCATTCTTGTGGAATGGTATTCTTCTCCAAATAAAACAACATATTCCAAGAAACATCCACAAGCTCTTAGTGCAACTGTGCATGATATGGATGGATCTTGTTCTTTTTTAAACTTCCACGCACTAATGCCGCACACTGTATATAGAAGAGCAAAGGTTATAAGTGCCACGGTCATGTAAGAAGAATCAGTGACAGCAGATGTTTAAAAAACAGAATAAAGCTCCGTAGGTAGAATAGAAAGAAGAGTTTTGTCAATTCGGTTCATAGAGAGCAATCGGTGAATTAATGTTTTAAATATTTATATATTGGTAACATGTATCACATGATTTGAAATATAATGCACACACTACTAACAGTGGTACTGGACTTGTCAAAATTTTAGTAGTTTATATATGGAAATGGAAAAGGATAATGCGAGTGAATAACAGAAGTAAAATGTAATGGTATGTCATTCAAAACAGAAAACCAAAAAAAGGTATATTGATGGAAAGCAACCGTATATACGTATTTCTGACTGTCTTCAGTAACGATATAGAGTGGCCCAAAAGTCTGGAAACGACTAATTATCTCGTAAATTACTAGACATAATTATACAAAATTTGAGATACGCCTATTTTGGGATACGGAGATTCCATATTTGGTATTTGCAATGTTGCCAGATTTTCAGTTTCTCTTATATTACTAGTAACTTTGGTTTTTCAAATGCATCACCCTGTATATTCAGTCATTATTGGAATCTCCTATTAAATACGAGTTCAACCATATGTAACACTTATGATTTTATGTAGTCTGGAAGGTCTTAAATACATAAAACAGAAGTCTAGCAACGCCTAAATTGTTTCAATACATTTTTTAATACTAACTATTTTCAAATACATTAAAACGTAACAATTGATAGTTTAGAATATTTTTTAACATAATAGTTACGTTATTAAGTGTTCAAAATGTGCTCCATTTGTGAGTTGACAGCACTCTAATAGATGGTAGAATGCGTCTACCACATTTCTCCATGATTGTCTAGAAATTATTCGAGATTCATCGATAATTCATTGCCTTAGCTATGCAAGACTTGCTGGTTAAGTTTTGTAAACTGAATTTTTCAAGTATCTCTAATAAAAATAATCTTTAGGATTGAGATCGGGTTAACGTGGAAGCCATTCAATTCTACCTTGTCTACCAATTTATCGTCCGGGAAATATCTCATCTAAATAACGCTGAAAATTTACACCAACTATCTGACGTTAAATTTCTTTCGATAAAAAATGGCCCAATTAAATAAGTACCTACTATAACTGACCATACATTTAATTTTTGTGGTCTTTGAGTATGGTTTTCACGCATTCAGTGTGAATTTCACACAAGTTCAGCTATTCAATACGAGTTCAACCATATGTTCACTTGATTTTATGTAGTCTGAAAGATCTTAAATACATAAAACAGTGCAAAATATGTAGATTTTAATAAATTTAAATATTTAAATGGAGAATGCTGTGATTTTGACATTTGTTCACCATTTAAATTATGAACTAAAATTGACAGTAGTTGTGGTTCAAAAAGTTCTGCATTTTAAATCGCTTCTCTAAAATGCCGTTCTCTAAACCGTTTTCCTATTCATAAGACGACGGTACAAAAAACTGTAAGGCGATTTGAGGAATCTGGAGAAGTAAAAGATAGATACCGATCAGGTTGACCGAAACGAGTTATCAATGACAACAAAACTTCAGATATAAGCAAAGTTTTGTTGAAGATCCACATACATCCCCAGGCAGGGTTGCACAAGTACATGATGTAGTTCATTCTTCAGTCTTACGTTTATTACGTAAAAATAAATTTAAATCATACAAAATTAACTTATTGCAAGAATTAAGTGAAGATGACTTTGGTCGTAGATTAGAGTTTACTGAGGTAATGATGGATAAAATTGAAAAATTATTAAAATTTCGTTAACAGAATATGTTTTTCCGATGAAGCAACTTTTACACTGTGTGGAAGTGTAAATCGACACAATTTAAGGTACTGGTGTGATAATTGACACTGAAGACTGAATGCATGAAAACCATACTCAAAGACCACAAAAATTAAATGTATGGTCAGATATAGTAGTTACTTATTCAATTGGGTCATGTTTTGTCGAAAGAAATTTAACGTCAGATAGTTGGTGTAAATGTTCGGCGATATTTAGATGAGATATTTCCTGGACGATAAATTTGTAGACAAGGTAGAATTGAATGGCCTCCACGTTCACCCGATTTCAATCCTAAAGATTATTTTTATTACGGATACTTGAAAAATTCAGTTTACAAAACTTCTAAACTATCAATTGTTACGTTTTAATGTATTTGAAAATAGTAGTATTAAAAAATTTATTGAAACAATTTAGGCGTTGCCAGACTTCGGTTTTATGTATTTATAACCTTCCAGATTAGATTAAATCGTAAGTGTTACATATGGTTGAACTCGTATTGAATAGGAGATTCCAATAATGACTGAATATACAGGGTGATGTATTTGAAAAACCAAAGTTACTAATAATATAAGAAAAACGGCAAATCTGGCAACATTGTAAATATCAAATATGGAATCTCCGTATTCCAAAATAGGTGTATCCTCAAATTTTGTACAATTATGATTAGCATTTTACGAGATAATTAGCCGTTTCCAGACTTTTGGGCCACTCTGTATATGATATATATTAATATATATATATATATATATATATATATATATATATATATAGATATATATATATGTGTATGTATATGTCATTTTTGTCGGGGAGATCCTTTCGGACAGGTACCGGAGCAAATTGCATCTTTAACCCTGTTTCAGTTAACTAGTGCCGATGCACACTAGTCCAGGGGGTCGAAGGTTTTACGTGTCCTACGAAACATGGTGACGGCTGCTAAAATTTGTTTAGAAATTGAAAATTTCGATGTCGATGCCGGGAATTGAACTTGTGTGTTCCGGCTTAGAATTTCAGTACCTCAGCCATGCGCGAGGACTGCCACTTACTATGGATGAATGGATTGAATAGAAAAAATCAGGCATTAAATTTAAAATTACATTATTATTTGACACTGAATTTTTATCGTTTTTATAGGCACTCTTTTGTCAGGACAGTATATTTGACGCAATAATATTTTCAGGTTATACGATCCATTTTGACCGATAAAAGAGAAAAATTGTACAACGCCAAAAACATCGGTTGTTACATGTTTCGGGTTGATGATAATTTTGTTGTGGATGCAACTATGAAAGGAAATGCCGCTAGGTTTATTAACCATTCTTGCGACGTGAGTATTTATTCTCTTTATTTCAAATATTTTTATATAATTGAATCGATTAGATGAAAAACAGTGTAAGTCAAAAATTTGTTGTTTTGAGTTGAAATAGCCAATCGCTTCAGAAATATTGTATCTTCATCTACGAGTAAACAAACAGTATATTTTTTTGACAAATTTTGACAGTTTGTTTCACTTTTTTGACGCTTTTCTCCACTTTTGGCGCCCCTTTTAAACAGTTATGTTGCTTTTTCCGCATAGTGCTTGTATTTTTGACACTTTTTCGAAGCTTCTTGCCACTATTAAGCGATTATTTTTATGTTTGGTATCGCTTGTGTCACTTTTTGGACATTTTTTACACATTTTGACATATTTTACCACTTTTTTGACGTGTTTGATGGTCTTCGGTTAATTTTTCGATATTTTTCAGGCAAATTCCAAATTTTGTCCTTTTGACGCTTTTTTCCACTTTTGATGCCGTTTTTTTCGACGATTTTTATTCCTTTTACGTATCTTACTTGCATTTTTAGACGCTATTTTTAACACAGTTTCTGAAGATTCTTGACACTTTTTCGATATTATTGTTCGATTACTCTCATTTTTTGTGTTTTTAATAAGCTATAATATAGTAATAAATAAGGCATATGCAGTCAAATGAGGTTTGACTTTGAATGACCTTGTTTATGGACTTTATTACATTACTGATAAATATCTCCTGTATGTTACAAAAGTCACAATGGCTTAAACGTGTTTTATCGTAATTTATTTAAATTGTTGCTTTAAAGAAAGCCAAAAATATTTTGAATAACTTGTGTGGGATGGACTAACCATTCAAAATAAGGAAGGCTTATGGGTCAATCCATGCCAAGTGGTCCAAAGGTGGATGTTTTATTTCTATTTTTAATATTTTTTATTTTTCTACCTTTTATACCTTAGTCTATAGAAAGTACTAAAATTGCATTAATTTTATTTTAAAAAAATTTATTTTGCGATTGCGGCCATTTTGCGCCAAAAAAATTACAAACCATTATCAGCTTGCCTTATGTTGTCAAAAAAATGCTGGAAAACGGAATTTTATCAGTTTATCTTTTCAAACTTTGAGGTTAATTTAAGGCATTAAGGGTATTTTGTAATTAAATAATGCTATGGACCATTTTTTAGAGCATACTTTGCCAAACAGTTTGGTTTTTGATTTATTGTTTTAGGACAAACCTAAGTAAAAATATGGGCTAAAGAGTGAAGCCATGTTTTCCGTGAAAATGACCGACACGATGAAACAAAAATGGCCGCCATCGGCAAAATAATTTTTTTTTAAATAAAATTAATGCAATTTTGTATACTCTATAAACTGAAGTTTAATTGGTAGAAAAATAAAAAATATTAAAAATAGTCAAGCCACCAACTTAATTTATATTGGACCACTTCGTATGGATTGACCCTTATTCGAAGGTCTGCTATAAATACATCTTTCTTCGATGGTCCTGTATGAATCATAAATAAAACTACCCGTGTATATATAAGTAATAAAATTATAAATAGATCGATAACTGAAATTGTTTTATAGACTACCTTTGATTTATTTTTAGCCCAACTGCTACTCAAAAGTAGTGGAAATTTTAGGACATAAACATATAATAATTTTCGCATTAAGACGAATTCCTAGTGGAGAGGAGTTGACCTATGATTATAAATTCCCTTTTGAAGAAGATAAGATTCCATGTACATGTGGATATAAAAAATGTCGAAAGTTTTTGAACTGATTCCCAGTGAAATTCTTGAAATTCTTGTATATTTGTAATTGTAAAAAACTGTAAATATCTCAGATCGTTTTGTTTCATTTCAAGAAACATTTTTATCGTGAAACCGTACTGCTACTTTATATTTGAAACTTTTTTGATTGATTTGTTTTATATATTATGTATAAATTTGGATTGGAAACGAGGTAAATGTGTATAATTATGGAAATATTTAATTTATTGTAAATGTAAATCGACTATTAAAAATGTTGTTGAAATGTGACAAATAAAATATATTTCTCCTTCCTGATGTAGCACCTATTATAGCCATTAAAGAGTAATAACATTCTTAAATTAATGTTAGTTTTGTAAACTCAAAGTATTCAAAAATTTTGTAAGAATTTTGGCTGTGACGATATATATGCATTTGTGCCATTGGCTCCATAGGTGCTATATTTAAATTTTGATAAAATAATATCATGTGATATGTTATGCATACTTTTACGAAAACTTTTTCACTTTCAAAATACCAGTTTTCAACCCATTTTAACGATTTTGCTTTGTCGTAAGATTTAAATTGTGAACATATCTGTTGTCTATCACTGTGTAATCATCGATAACATTTTCTTCTAGAAAAGTTCATTTGACCTACTCCAAAAATTTAAGGAACTTCTTTTCCCTCAAAAGTAAACAGAGACAATATTTGGAAAATGTCAGCAGGTCTACAAACGTTTTGTCAATTTTTAATGCTCCCAGCTCTTCATTATTAACAATTATTGTAATCCAAATTTAATATTACAATTGTTTTTAGGTGTAGTATTTTAAGTAAATTTTTCTCTGGACTTTCGAATAATCCAGTTATCTAGCAAGTTTTTTAGTTAACATATACCCACAAACAGTCAGTTAATATACTTTTTATTTTAAGCAAATAATAATTATTACTCTCGAATAAAAATTAAAGTATGCTACGAACAACCAAAATGAAGATACTATTATTGTGCTTATAACAAAAACGTCTCTATTTAGACAATAACATTAAAAAGCTGACTTAAGAAATTATCTGTACATCCCTTAGTCATTAGCTGCTTTGTTTTGGATAATTTTGCAATGAAAATACGATCAATTTAACCTTGTACCCCAGTTAAAAAAAAAAGAGCAAATTTAGTCCAGTAGAACGAGAGATATGTCGTTTTTTTCGAGCACTCTATTTTGAAACCGTGTTTTTTTTTTAGAGCGCGGCTGGCCATTCATTCGTCTACCTTCATTCCTTTTACTCTAGTCGGAACGCAAAGTACTCCTGTTTTAATAAATTTATTAAAACTTTGACTTTTATCATAGAAGATTTCATATTTTATTTTTATAGTTATTTTAATTTACATATATATATATATATATATATATATATATATATATATATATATATATATATATATATGTATTTACTAATTTTAACGTAACAGTGATTTAAAAAAAAGGGCTATCTTGTCTCCTACGGTTCGTAGGACCTCTTTTTTTTTCGAAAGTTGTGTTTTTTAACCACCTTTCCGAATATTGTTTTGCTATTATAAGCTTAAAAAGTGATATTTATTATTAAATCATATTGTGTAGATAATTGTAATTTTTTAAACTTTTTTTTCATAGGTTATTAGTATAATGTCTTAACGAAGAAAATAAGCCCGTATTCCTCTCACTATCGCTTATATATCCGCCAAATTATCTACTATGATAGTACTATTGTCAGTATACTGTAAACTATTTGTAGGGGTTATATTTATTTGGATATTATTTTCATTCTGCTGTGCAGGTTGAAAAATCTTTTCTACATACAGTGTAGGTAAAAGTTTATGGTCGGTATGGTAAAATTTAACAGGATATCTAACACAGATATAAAATCATATTTTCAGCGAATAGACAAAGATAACCATCATATTTCCCCTTGGTATCCTCTCCATATTTCTTATTAACGTCCATTGTCCATTAGTGAGACAATTATCGTTTACACGATAATCGTCCATGTAGACAAACAAACATATTAGCTATTATCGTTTATGTGTATAAGTATTGAAGTGAAAGAAACTAACGAAGGATATATTTATTATAACTTGAAAAATAAATTAAACAATACAAATAGTACTTACACTTACATTACACATTATTAAATCGCGAATCGTCTAAATTGACTTTTAAAAACATAAGTTTTTCCACTTTTCTTGTTAACCGTGTTCTTTCTTTTATTTAAAATTAAACCACATTTTGAACATGTTCAGATTGTGTTCACAAGGAACAGATTTTGTTACAATACTACAATATTTTATGAATATAGTGGTTAAGTCTTTAAAAAGAAACCGATAAAGATGACTTAAGTCCATGGTGTATTTTTGATCAATTAATTGGACATGACTTATCTAAACGTACACCTGTATCGAGAGTCCATTACAATGGTGGAAAAATCATCACCATGTATATCATCACCAAATATTGCAAATGTGAACACATGGTCAAAATTTGGTTTAATTTTAAATAAAAGTTATAATAAATATATCCTTCATTAGTTTCTTTCACTTCAATAAATATACACATAAACGATAATAGCGATTATGTTTGTTTATGTAGGTACTCTCTTACTTGAAACTACTGTTAAACAATCATAGTAACTTGTTTACGAAAATCGGTTTACGATAAAAACGTCAACGACCCACCTCTACACATTACCTCTGTCCACGCGAGACGGAGAGGTGCCAAATAATTTTGTATGAAGATTTTTTATTGTGGCATCATATGCAGTTTAATATTTTTATAGGGAATAAGGCACAATGTGACTTTAAAATAAGCTTATTTTGATGTTTAGATTTTTAATTTTAGAAATTGTACTTAAAATACGAAACATTAATAAATTTTATTTATGTAAAACGATTTCCGAAGTGGAAATCATAATGTTGTATTACACTTATTGTAAAGTAAAATTGTGGCATATTTCCAATAAAAAATAGTAGCTGCCATTTAAATCCATTTCCCCCAAATTTGATTATCTTAGAACATTGTTCAAATGCTAAAAAGACAACAGGTCAAATAAAACCAATAAGTTTGGCAACGTTGAATTTCCCCTTTTTTATTATTTCAACTCATTCATTTTCGGCGATATAAGGGGCGGACTTAATATACCTCTCTCTTTTTAAACAGGTGTTTCACACTCCATCTCACGTAAGCTCCATACCGACCATAAACTTTTACCTATACTGTATATGGTAACCAGTAGTGAGGAGAGGATGCATCCTTGTGTCATGCTTTCAATTATCTCCACTTATTTCAGACCGTTGGTAATCCTTAATTCTGTCTTTTGATTCCAGTATTCGTTGGATCTTTCGGCATATATGTCATGATAAATTTCTTTCAACATGTTTATCAATAGTTCATGTCTAACCGTTGTCAAATAATATACTCTAGTCTGTGTTAAGTTGTAAGTATTTCTCAGTTAAAAGAATAGAAGAATATCGTTGGATACACAGTGTTTGTACCACATCTGTCGGTGTGTATTGTAACACATTATAATATATTATTTTAGATGTTTTGAAATGTGTTTAGTTTGGAAAGTTCAGTTGTGTTTTAACTGAAAATTATAAACTTTTCATTCATCTCATTTAAGTTTTTCATACTCAATAATGTAAATTTATGGCATTCTCACTTTTATATTATTTTTTGTACACAAAAGTGAATATATTTTGTAAAAAAAAGAAAACGCGAAATATTTTATAAAGTATATATTTTAGTTTAAGAATTTTGTCTCGATTTTGCTGATATAACACGTATTTGAATAATTTAGTCAATATTTTTATCTTATTTCTGGCCAAATAATAAGCACCGCTGCGTATGGGTTTTTATTTACTGATTAAGTTACCAAAATGTAAGTTGTATCTGTGGAATTAGACATTAAAACATGAAATACTTGACAATTTAACCAATTTTAGTTTTAGAAATTGGTCGAATTGTTAAGTATAACTAATATATAAAATAGTAATTGAACAATTATCATCGCAAAGCTGCTATGTATTAAAATATTACAACGGTTTGATTAACAAAATTTTATTATTAATTAAAACTATAATTTATTTGGAATTTATTAATATTAATTGTGACGATAAAAATGATTAATTAATATGTATTTGTTCTTAGTAACTCATACCAACATCTTACTGGCCATTAGATGTGACTAGTATAACCTATTTTTTCTACTACCCATCACATTATGTTTTTTTATGATTTTTTATTTATTATTTTTTTAATGATTTTATGTCTAATTTTTAATAGTAAAAATTATATAAAAAGTATATGAAATTAATTATATATTGTACGTAATTTATGTTTTCTATTGTGTAATTATCAAATTGTGTTATTCGAAGGAAGTGTACTTCATTCTTAATTTTATTATACTCAGTGTGGAGTTAAAAAATTGATTACTCCACGTTTTTTTTACTTTGTATTGATTCATATATTTGATTTGATACGTACAGCGTGATAAAGGCCTTGTAATGTACGTATATCTTTATTAAGGCTGATTTTACAGTCTGTTTTTAAATTTTAACGAAACTAATCATACCCTAGTTGGTGCTTACTACTTGTACTTTTATTTCAGAAGCCCTGCTTAAAACATATAATTTAATTTTATCAATAAAAATTATTCAAACACTACATATTTCGTTTTATTTTTCAACATATAAGTAACCCCAAATTAAAACTTTCATTAAAGAGAACTTCTAATAGCCCCAGGAAACGAAGCCGAAAAATTACTTGAATTATCGAAAAATTACTGGGCGCTATTTTTCAACTGGAATATCTGGGAAGTCAATAGAAAAGGAGTATAATTTCGTGGGTATCGAATTTTTTACTGTGTCATGTTTTTTTTAACATTTAAGGGACTATTTCATTCATTTCAATATTGTGAAAAAAGTACACATTCTAGATGAAAACATTTCTTCTTCTTTATGTACCATATCTTTTCATAACGTTGGTTACCATCATAACTATCTTAATTT